TGCTGATTCCTAGAGCATGATTTTAGGGGTAACAGTGCCACAGTGTATGAAGGGTAAAACATCATTTGTTGATTGGGCAGTACCTGACACTGACCTCATCTGGTTGCTGATCAGATATTTTAGGCTTTGGTTAGAACCTAATTCCTGTTGACAAAATCTTTTGCTTTTTTTTACCTTCCCTTTTGTTACCTTCCCTACACGTCCCTTCCTTAAACATTAGTTCCGTAGAAGATGCCACTAGGTTATCCTAATGCCTCCTTCCATCTGTGGCATTCCAAACAGTTAGTGTAGTGATTACAAGAAGGTAGGTTTGGACAAAGCTTCAGTCTGTGAATGAAATGAAGGGAACATATCATTTCTTCTGTAACCTCTTCTGCTGGTTAAGTGCCACTGTTGCTTTAAAAAAAAAAATAATCTTATATACTTGCCCTCTAAAGATAACGTATGCAACTCTGGCATCCCAAAAGGAAAGACAGAATTAAGCGTAACAAGTCAAGAAACTTTCCTTCCTTTTTGTTCTCAAAGACTGCTTGACTGCATGCCCGGCTGTTTCACGCTGGCAGTGACAAGCAATACATCAATATGATGAGGAACCATTTCTCAGTGTGTGTGTTCCTGAAGTTAGATTCACTGAAGTAATCTGGGAGTGCTATTCAATTTAACTCTTTTGTGTGATGTCATTTAAAGATTTTTTTAATGCATGAAAACTTCAAGATAAAAGAGACAAAAGATTCAGCCTCGTAGCTTATAAAGAACATAGTTCTCTACACTCTGGATCTCAGGCTGTTGCTTCACTGGTGAGAAGTGATACGATGAAAGAGTTGCATTGACTAGTTTACGTTAGAGCACTGACTCTCAGAAATGGGGCAATCACCTTCCAACTCAGGTGTGTTCAGTCTCTAAGATATGAAGAAACTTTCGCCAACCAATGGCCAAAGTAAAACATTTTCAGGGCCTTACCATATTAGGAGGAACCATCTATTGTGTGAATGTTCCCAAGCTTGATATTGCACCAAGGAAGACAACAAAGTCACACTCCACAGGCACTGGCAGGATCAGGACTTTCCTTTTTGCTTGTGTCTGAACTCCAGTCTAGAGCAGTCCTACCCATAAGCAAGTACAGGATTTGGGGCAGCTGGAGACTCTTACAACAAACAGTAAGTCATCTAAGAAGCTGTAGGCATGTCCTCAAATGAGGAATAGCTGGGCAGGAATATTCTGGATTACTGCCTCAGATTTGGACATATCAGTTCTTTTAAAGACTTTCTGCAAGTAACTATTAATATCAGAAATTATGGCTTATTTTGTGTCTATAGTCATCAGCTGAAAATATCCAAAAAGTAACTACTCTGGAGTCATCTGGAGAAAACTTTGTAAAGGTTGATGCATGTATTAAAAATGATGCTTTGAATTGCCAATGAAAAATAGCAATGGAGTTTCTCATGGTTATCATGTATCCAGTAAAAATTCACACAGCAAATGTATTTGTGCCTATGCCCCTAAAATACATAAGTACTAGACAAAGCTGTGATTAAAACTGAGAAACAGTAGCTAAATTTCATGTGTGTTCTTGCCTATAGAGAAAAATCAAGCCTATCTTGTATGTTAATAGGAGACCCAACAACCTATTTGGACATCTAGGCTAGGTGTAAAGATTTGAAGAAATAATACTTGGAGTGTTACACTGGATAATCACAACTGCAAACCTTAAGATCTCTTGAGACTCTATGGAGGTTGCTACCAGGCACTAAGTGTGAAGTCTAAATCCTACAGTTGTTTGTATAATGGTTAGATAAAGTTAAGAAAGGTAAATAAATGCATGCCATACATGAAACAGGTAACTTGTACTGGTTAAAGCAAGAAGACACCTCAATTCAGCTCCTCACTGGGCACAGAATGCCACATTTTCAATATCCTGAATGTGATCCAGCTTGGTACTCTCTCCTAACTTCATATGGAAAAGCAGCCTTTCCCACATTCTACGTGACAAAAAGCTTTAATTTTTACCTTTTGCCTCTAAGACTTCTTCCAAAATAAGTGTGACAATCACTTAGCAGATAATGACCATACAGTCAGGATTGACCTGACCGCTTCACACCAGTGAACTGATTCCTGTCAAACCAATATACAATTTGAGTCTGAGCTTTTCCAACCCCATCTTTACATTTTTCCTAGATGTCAATTAATGTCATTCAAGGTGACTGGCCTTTATTTCAGGATAGCAAGCATTTTTCTTGCACGTTAAATGTTAATTCTACTCAAATGTGTCAAACTAAGCAGAACTGCCAGCCAGCTGCCCAGCAAGATAGAGCCCATGTATTTCCTGGCACTGTGGTGACAGTCTCAAATTCATTGGCAGGTTCACGTTGCAGGGGGCACAACAAGCAGAGCAAGTTGAGAGAGAGAGCTGGAGTGAGAGACTGAGGAGAACAGTAATAGAAAACAGATTTCCCAGCAGAAATCTCCTGAATGACCCCATTGAGAGCCACTGTGGCTCTAACGCTGTTTGTCACTGGGCTATCAGAGGCATGGCAGGCAGAGGCAAGACACATCAACAGCACTAGCTTTCCTTGCACAAAAAGCTGGTAACAGATAAAACCCGATTAAGTGGTTTATTCATGTGTGGGAATTGTAGTCCCAGCACAGTTTGATTCAAGTACAGCTGTTACCTTGGGCTCGATTAAGTATGTTATGGAGAGTGCTACAGAAGAAACAAGTCATAAAAGCAGAATCTGAGTAAAGGGGAAGAAAATGATCTGAATAGGAGGAGGAGACAGAGGTAGCAAGTTCCTTAAAATAACAGCACTTGCTTTTGATGTAAAATACAAAATCTTGGAAATAAATTTAGATACTAAAAAGGTGGGGTGAGGTTGGATTCAAAAGTGAAATGATGCACCAGAGCTAGATACGAAGTGGTAAATATTGCAAAAGTGGACTTAGCTTAGGAGCCTACAGGAAGTCATCAAGTTTTTTCAGAGAAGACTTCTGCAGTATTTGTGAGCTACATAATGAGCAAAATACAGTATCAGAGCACCTGACTTATTTTCCTCTCTATGTATGAAGAGTTTGCAAATCTTGGTACGTTAAAATATTACTTTAAAACTCATTCACGCCCAGTAGTTAGACTCCTTCTCTTATCTCAATGACACTTCAAGAAAATGTCATATCACAGCTCTTTTTGATCAGAACTAAAGTGCTTCTCAGCCTTCATTCTTATCTTTTCATTAGTCACTATAAAGAGGTTAGTTTCTTCAGCTGGGAATTTGGTTACTTTGTTTTCCTCCACATGAAAGCTCTAAACACAAACAGGTTCTACTGACTACATGCTTTGGGGAGTTATGAATTTTTTACATTGGTATGTTCCTGTGAGCCAGTTCCCACTGAGATGGTGAATCACAGGTCCGGAGTCTGAAGATGAACATCACAGTTTGGGTCTCCCTCAAAGCTCTTTTTTTTTCCTCTAGCATTATTTACTGTTCAGCAAAGAAGTGCCATGTTATTACATACATTTCTTTTCCCTTTTGCTAGTTTAACATTTATCTGTGTTGTCCTAATTTCTCCCAGTTACCACAAAGTTGGCCAATAATACTTTTACAAAATTCAACTGGTAATTATTAACTCCCTGAGAAACAGAAGTGCGGGATTCACAACAAGAAAAGGCGAAATACTCAGAACATTGCAGGCAGTACAGAAGGAAAACAATCTTCTCTGGTGTTTGCAGCACCACCAGGCAGCAGTGGCTGTACCAGCCTCCCACCCAGATTGCCTCCCACTTGTGCTGCAATCTTGGGGCCTGAAATATAATGTTTTGTTTGTTTCTGCTCCCTGAGGGTTGAAACTCTGAGATAAGGCTGCTTCCTACTAATAATTTCAGTATTTCTCCTTAGCCTTTGGTTCCAACCTAGGTGATTCATATTATAATTTCTGAATGATTCCTACTACATGACCTGCAATTTAGTAATTGCTTGATCAACTGAAACACCACTCATCTCCCACCAGCTGCTAATGAGAGACAGCTCTGCTTTGAGTGCTGCTCTCTAGAAGGCTCAGGGAAATGTAAAGGCACTTTCACTTTCTTTCACATTCTCCCATTGTGAACCTGACCCTCGGGTTCTCCTTTAGCCATACACCCAAGTCGTGGAATCCAGTGTGGGATTTTGTTGGGATGTAGCCCACACGAGAAGTCAGAGAGCTCAACTCACCATGGTCATGTTGCTTGTTCCTCCACCCACACAAAGTAACCGTTTTATCCAATGTTTTATCCTGGTTTGTAAATACTGGTCACTGGGGAAGAGCTTGGTTCTGTCTGGGCAGCGAGAGATCCCTGCAGTGGCAATGTTTCCCAGTGGGGAGTGCTGCCTGGAGACTTCGTTTGGACACTGGGCGGTGAGATGGAGCCTACAGATGCAGGTGGAGGAGCTGGGCATGCTGCTACCCAAGAACTGAAGGAGGCTGTGGGTGTCAATCGTTTCTGTCAATGCTAATTTGCTCCTAATTGTGAGGGGAATGGGGAATTAAAAGAATGGGTTACTAATGCTTCCTCTTGCTATCCTGAGTGTTGAAGGCTAAGGCTGTAGGTGATTTTTCTTCCAACTGTTTGGAAATATTTCCTATAAGTTGTGAAACAGGCTTAGTTAGAGCTCTTCTTGTGATGTTATTTTTCTTTTTCTCTGCCCCTCTGCAAGATGTAGTAACCAAACGTAGATAAAAAATGAAATAGCCAAGGATCCTCAAAGTCAGCCTTCCTATAGCCCTTCCTGTGGGCCGGGCTTTGCAGGGTGGCTGTGGGACACAAAGCCAGTGCCAATTGCCTCTGGCTGAAAATTGTTGATGTTAAAAGATGCTGTTGTTTCCTTTTGTAGTAGGTCATGAAGAACTGGGCGGGAGGAAAGGGAGGCTTTTTAATGAGGCGTAGAAATCAATTACATAGGCTTGTTTGTTATACTGTCTGTGCCTGAGTAATGTAAATGCAATTAAACCCATCTTTATTTTATTCATAGTTCTAATGGAAAGTCTGTGTCATGGTCTGAACCAGGTGGAAGACAAGCTTCCAAGGGCGAGCACATGTGGCACAGACTCTCAGTGCATGTGAAGAACCAGGAGACAGGGTGCAATCAGACAGCCGTGATCAAACCCCTCACTAAAAGCTACCACGGCCAAAGCAAGAGCCTGACTTTTACCGATATGAGCAGCAAGACTCTGTACAACGTGGAGGAGGAAGAAAATAGAGAGCCTGTCCGCCTCAACCAACCTAGCAGTCCCTCCATGGTGGTGCATAGGCGGGTGGCAACCACTCCACCCTTGCAGGCTGCAGCGGAGGAGACGTGTCTCTTCCTGCCCGAGCAGTCCTCCAAGGACCTGCCCCTGCAGCCCCGTTCTCTCATGGAGCAGTTGCAGGGGGTGGTCAACAAGCTGGCCACTGGCATCCCTGACTTCAGTGCTGTCCTCCCTGCACCTGGCTCAGGGAACGGCGCGCGGCCTCCCCAGCAGTCACCCCTGCTGCCTCTCCAGGCAGCTGACTTTGGCGGGGAGCCCCTGTCTCCCCCAGCTGAGGAAGCGGAGAGTGAGAAGCTGAAGCTCATTCAGGGATACGTCTACGAGAAGAGCACAGAGGATGAGGAGGACGAGGAGGAGCCAGCGACCAGCAAGCTCACCCTGGACGACTCACCTGCACTGACGCCTCCGTCCCCTTTCCGGGATTCGGTGGCTTCAGGTAGCTCCGTGCCCAGCTCCCCTGTGTCGGAGTCAGTACTCTGCACACCTCCAGACGTGAACTATGCTTCTGTCATCCTAAGGGATTATAAGCAGAGCTCGTCCACCCTATAGAGCATGGATGCTGCTGCGGGAGATGTGGCTCAAAGGACTTTGGTAGCTGCCCGCTGTTAGGGCCTGGGGAAGTATATCCCTGGGGTGGCAGAGAAAGAGTGAAGAGCAGAGTCATACATGACAAGAGCATACATACATGACAAACTTTATCCTGCACTTAAAGAATAAAAAAGAACAAAGAAAAAGAAAAAAAAAAACCCAAACCATTCTGAGGGCTTAACATTCTCTATCTGTGAAATTGCTGTACTTTGAGCAAATGATAGGAAAAACAAAGCACAAACCTAATGGACAACTTCTATAGCAAAAAAAAAAAAAAAAAAAAAAAAAAAAAGAATAAACACACAGGAAAAGAAAATACACTCAGTCACACCATCTCTTGGCAGTGCTTGAAGAGGACTCTGGGAAGTGCAAACTGGGAGAAGTCCTTAGCGTGTATGGTGACTGCAGCCTGCCTGCTGTGCCTGAAGGTCCAGGAAATGGAAGGGGCAGTGTGGTGAGGTGGAGCAAAACTGCCTGTGTATGAGATACAAATGCATAAATCATTTCTTGGTTTCTGCAGGTGGTATAAATGCATAACCTGTTGGGGAGAGGGGACCTGAGATAATGTGAAAACACATGGCTCTTAATGACTTTTGTTGGAACGGTTTGTTCTTTGTACGAGGCTGCTTTTTGGGGGATCTGGGCTTTTTTAAGGATAATTGTGAACAAAGCGATGAATATTACTAAGACTTGAGAGGTTTTTGATGACAGTCCTTGTTGTAGTACTTGTAATATGATAAAGGCTTGGGAAAACTGCCCTTTTGTATACAATTGCAAACTGTGTTGGCTAAACTGTTACACAACATTTACTGTAGCAGAACAATATTTATTGACTGACTTTTCATAATACAACATACTTGCCGTGTGATTACATCATTCTTTTGTGTAACTATGAAATCAAATGCTTTGGAATATAGCTGTATACTTAGAGCAACAACTATTACTCTGAAAGGCAGTTCCTTATTGGGGGCTTTAGAGTCAGTCTTGAAGCAACAATGAGCGTATGTTTGTGTGTCTGTATGCGTGTGTACAGGATGTGTGAAATGTAATGTCCAATAACTACCATTGGAAGATTGTCTTATAAATATTCTATCAATATTTTTATGTTCCAATCGTATTTTATATTGCATTGTTACAAATATTCAATAGATCTTTGAAGGTTTGTATGCTGTGCTAAATGTGTTTTTTCATATACGAGCTGAGACAGTAGTTCCTATTATAATAGGGTGCTTTATTTTGCAGATATTTTATGAAGTAGATCTATGTTATTAATAACCAGTGCATTGAGAACTTGTTACGTTGTGCGTTTTGTTACTAATGTAAAAAAAGAAATAATGAAAACACAAAAAGAAAAAAGTCTGGTTTTGAAATCTTGCACATACCAGTATAAGTCTATTATGCCGAGACAGGAAATGTATTTGATATTTTTGTTTCTTCAGATAGTTAAAAATAAAATTATGTCCAGGCAGGAACTTTCATCAGTGCTTAATGTGTACATTAGTCCCCTAGGTCTGTTCTAAACCATTCTTTTAATCTTTTTATTATGTTCATGTTAGTGCTTTTTCCATACAGTTTCATTTCTTCACTGTACAATAGTATGTTTTATCTTAAATGTCACTTGTAAGCAGCTGTACTCTGTCATTCAGTCCTGCTCCTCTATCCTTCATATATGTCCTAGAGATGGACCTAATATACAGCTCTGTAATGACTGGCATATTCAAAGTCCAGCTTTAATTGCTGTGTTTTGAACTTAGTTATTACTATCTGATTTATAAATGTGAATGTTACACATATTCTGGACAGGATTTCAGCTGCTATGAACTTTGTGCTCTTGAATTTAGTGGGGAATCCATCTCATAATTCTAAACTTTATTTTCAAAGATATTTTAAAGGAATATTTATAACCATACTTGTGAATATTCTATCAGAATTTTTCTGAATTCTTCACTTTTCTGCTCTTTTTCTTTCTTTTTCACTAGAATTTTAAGTCCTGGTGCCAGTCATCAATTCTCCTCTTAAGATCCAAAGCTCTTTATTTTGATAGAAATATTGTGATATTGAGAGATTTGGCTGGTGCTCAAAATGGGATGGAGTCTTTTTTCCTCATCCTCTTTTCACATTGTTTTCTCCTTTCAAAATGACTTGCAGCCAATTGCTGTCATCTTCCAGATGTGGAAAGCATGAACTGATTTTGCCCAAAGGCATAGTTATGTCTCTGTTGGTAGATTGACTTTGCTACTTTATAATGAACTGAAGCCACCTGAGGGTCAATTGGTTGACTTTTGTCTGCTTGGGGCTTTTAGGGGGAATTTTTTGTTGTTGTTCTTGTTTTCTTCTTTTTTATAATGCTGATTACTCATGAAAACAGTCAGAAAATGCCATATTTTCCTTGCTGATCACTGCGATGGCAATGAATTCTATCTTGTTGTAGTCTTAGTATAAGTTTTCTTCTGCTTTTTCTAAAAATTTATGTTGTTGGTAGCACAGGACTAGTAATAGAAAGCCAATGTTTGAAGAAATGATAGATGAAAGAAAAAAAGAAAACCAACACATAACAGGCTCATATAGATGGAGAGATGACTATGTGGCAAGGTACTATATTTTCATATCTGCCTATTTTGAACATATTTTGAACATATTAAGCACTGACTTTATTACTGTAATGTAATTTATATAACAAGTAGGCGTTCTCTTGAAATTCAGTATATTAGCTTTTAGTTTGTAATTGTTAAAACTGGAAACATACACATAAGTATATATAAAGAGCAAGAACTCACATTGTGTATGTAGTTGTATGAGCTATGAAGCTTCCTGTAAAAGTTCTTTCTTTTGGTCTGTCAAATGCTTGATGAGAACTGCTTTTTTGTCAAAATGATCTTGAAAATGCTGTAAAATAAACATTTTCTATTTATTATTTAAGAATAGAATGCCAAGATGGTTAATTTTTGTTTCCAAAGTAGAAAACGGCCATGTGTGCTCATCTGTTGTTCCAGAGCTTGTCAGCATTCTCTGAGACTGATGGTGGGATGCTGAAATGGAGGTACGTACTGTATAGATTGTTGTATGTAGGCGAGATGGTGGAGGGTTAGAGGATTTTTGTTTAGAACACAAAAAAACAGCCATTGGGACTCCTGATAAAAAATCAGGAGATCCGTGAATGTGCATTTTGACTCACAGGTTGTCAAAGACATTCAGGAAATGACAGGAAATTTTACTTCCCAAGGACATGTGGAAAGCTCATCCCTTTGCTGGAAGTACTCTCCGTGTGTGTTTGACTCTGAGAGACGTCAGCTGCCATTGGAGAAACTTAAATGCACTTTTTATGATGGATATAAATGACAGGCATTGGCCCATCCCAGACATCTTGTGCCTCCTTTATTGATGCTGTTCAAAGCAAAGCACTGGGGCTCTTGACTCCTGCTCTGCAGCTCATGCACACCATGGCTTTTTTGTGATTCCTGAAATGCAATATGGGATTCTGCATAAATGGGAGTATAAATGCTTTTAGTGGGGCACTGCTGTGATTTTTCAGACCCAAGCGACTCTAAACATAGAAAATCTAGCTCTTTGTTTCTCTAGGCCTGCAAGTAGGTGTGGTTGTAGTATCTTCCTTGTTTGGATTTACCCTTGTGGAAGCCCACATCTGAGGAGTCAGTCCACATACTGCTGCTGTGCAGCTGGAGAACAGAGAATGACATTATACTCAATGGTAAGTGCCAACAAGTTCAGTCACTCTGCTTGCAGATGTTGCTTTCTGCTTGTTTTTATTTGTTTTATTTATTTAGGTCTAGGCAAATTATTTCCTAGTAAAGGTTCTGCTGATCAAGTGGACTCAATTAGCAGAATTAGCAGACAGCAGAGCTGCTTTCCTTTAGAGCACCCAGCGCAGGTTGCCACCAGCACCATCCTTGTAAGCAGTTACTGTTTTTAGGAGCCAGTCCATAGCACCTGATCATGATCCTCTGTCTGTGTAAGCACTTACCTGCAGCATGTGGGGAGGCTGCCCCTGTGTAGCTGAGTTGTCACATTTCTGTAGGTGACACGTGCACTAGGATGAGCCCCTATCGTGTTCATCACACACAACTGCTACTGTCAGATGAGCATGGTTAAGTGGCAGAGGCTTGTGCTGGCTGAAGCACCCAGGCTGAAGCAGGAGAAGGCTGGTGGATGGCTGCAGCATCTGTAAGGTGAAGCCTGAGGCAGAGAGCAGTCGGCTGCAATGAAGCTGTGGCAAGTCATGCTCTTTGGTCTTTCTAGCAGCAAGGTATACTTCATGCAATGCATCTTCAGGAAATAGGAAAACTAGTCTATTTGGGAAGGTATGCATCTTAGTTCTTGCTGGTTTGTGCCTAATCTTGCTTTTATCTCACCTCATCCATGCTAACATGATTAAAACCTAATTCAATGCTGATTACCATATTTAACAGAGAAAGCTGGTATTGGAATCAGCCCTTCAGTTCCTTGTATTTTCTAAGATCCTAATACATTTACTGTGCAACAGAGTATTATCTGTAAGAAAAAATACTACAGAAACACCCATGAAAATGAACAGTGCTATATACCTTCACTACTATATTAGAATATAATATTTTCAAATCTAAGCATCTTTATTGAGGCAGAAATTTTAGTTTCAGTTTCTTTTATTTCTTTAGATATATACCTGTTTTTAAATAAAGCCTGAAATCAGGAGCCTGATCCTTTTTCACTTGCACAGAGGAATGTTAAGTTAGGCTAATTCTATCATTAGACCATCATTCAGAGACATCATATTCAGTATGATGAACGTGGGAATAATCATGATGGTGATATCAGAGATTTATCATTTCAGTTGCAAAAGGGGGCTGTAAGAATGGAGGAGATGTATTCTTTAGCAGGATCTGTTGTGATAGGACCAAGGAAAATGGTTTCAAACTAAAAGAGTGGAGATTTAGGTTATAAGGAAAAAGTGTTTACAGTAAGGG